ATGGAGTACCTCAGGGCTTAGTGTTAGGACCTTTTCTCTTTGATTTACACCAATAACAAAGATGAAGAAAAAGTCCGTAAATTACTTAACTTTGGTGATGATATGGAGTACCTCAGGGCTTAGTGTTAGAACCTTTTCTCTTTTTGATTTACACCAATGACAAAAATGAAGAAAAAGTCCGTAAATTATTTAACTTTGGTGATGATATGGAGTACCTCAGGGCTTAGTGTTAGGACCTTTTCTCTTTTTGATTTACACCAATGACAAAGATGAAGAAAAAGTCCGTAAATTACTTAACTTTGGTGATGATATTAAGGTCTTGGATGTTGCTGGCTGAAAGGAGAATGCTGTTGCTTTATAAAAGGATTTAGATCATTAAGTGAGTTGGAAATATAAATGACAGATGGATTTTTATTATTATAAGTACAAGGTAATGCATGTGAGTTTCATAATTTGAATTATAATTATATTTTTGATAGGAATAACCTTAACTGCTATAATGTTCTGGTTGATCAGTCTCTTAAGCTATACATGCAATGTGCTGTTGTTAGTGGTAGGGCAAATAGAATTTTAGGTTATACCTATAAACATATTGAATACAAGCCTAAAAAGTTTATCAGTTCATTGTATAGGTCACTGGGTAGGTCACATATTCTGTTCAGTCTTGGGCTCCTTACCTTAGGATAGTCATTAAATTGTTAGAAAGTGTTCAAGGGAGGACTATTAAGATGAAACCTGGGATAGAAAAGCTGCTTACAAGGGCAGATGAAAATTTTTGAAACTGTTTTCTCTTGAAAAAAATAAGTTATAGGAGATGAGATTGAGATATTTATGATGGTTAATGGAATTGATTGTGTTGATTCTCAGTTTGTTTTTGTACTTAATGATGAGAATGGTAGGACTAGGGGACAAAAATATAAATTTTGGCAGGTTAGTAGTAATTTTTAACCAAGACAACTGTATTTTTCTAACTGGGTATTTGACCTTTGGAGTGGGCTGCCTTCAGATGTGGTGAAAGCAGTAAAGTTAAGGGAGTTTAAAGGAAAGCTTGATAAATATTTAAATGATCAGGGTTGGCTTTGAGTCTGTTTTTTTAATAGTTTAGTTAACGGGACAGCTTAGATGGACAAATAGGCCTCTTATTCTTCTTACGTTTTATGTTATTACTTCTCAGTACTGTTCTTTTCAATTTATTTCTTTCAGATTTGACTGACAATCCAACTTAACTTGTACATTATATTTCAATCTAAATTATATTTTTTATGCAGTTTACCATGATTTTAATGGTGTGAAGAAAATATTTTGGAAATACAAATTGCTTAATGAATTATGGAAATAATTTAAATATACATGCAAAATAAGAATTTCAAGAACAATAATACATCTTTACTATTGTAATACAAATATATTTTGCTATCCTGAGTACTAAATAAACATTTTGATAAATATAAATGAGAATGCCAAAAGCATATTATGATTTTAATTCTGATGAGATAATTAGTCACCACAAGTTTCTTTTTTACCAAGTGCTCAGATTCAGTATCCATAGGATTTAGTAGCAGTGCTGTACACTAATTTGTACAATATGAGATTTTGGCTCATAGCCTCAAAAATATAGATACCAGAAATATAAGTTTAATGACCACCAATAGAAAATTATTTTAAAAAACACTTACCAGAGCTGAGTTCCAGAATAGGCTACACTTTCAACAAGATATGTTGTAAATTATTATAGGGCATTAAAAGTAAGTGTAGTATAGACTTAACTGTGTACTATATAATTTTATGAAATTGTCTTATCATTATTACATCTCAAATGTTAGCTAATGTTTCTGAATTTGGGTTATTTAAACTAGCTTGGTTTTGCTTTATAAAAAACAACCAATATGTTTTAAATGGGAAAATGATGTTCTAAAGATTAAAAATATAATCAAACACATTGATATAAGTTTCTGAAACAAATAATACTATAATTTTATTATAAGTTACAGCTTTTACGGAATAACCTTCTTCACCGTTAAATCTTGTGTACTCGTAAATGATCACACCAGTGATTGAAACAGTGTACCTCTTCTAAAAATAAATCTTCCTTACTCTAAAAGCTGTAACTTGTAATAAATTAATACATAATCAGTTAGTAAGCTCAAAACTAGACCATTAAATAATAGTATAGTTCATTTTGAATAAGTTTATGGCTCCACTGGAAAGCATTTGTCTTTCTTTTTATTGTTACAACTAAACAATTCTGTAAACTGATTAAAAAGTACAATACCTGATTTACTTTTTATTTATTTTTAATAGTGATGCACCTGTTCGTAAATGAAAATGCCAGATTCACAGAGATTATAGTAATATATTACTGTCAGTCCTTGCATGGAAGGTACCAGCTTACAAAATTATTTATTTTAATTAACAAATGTTTTATATAAGTTATGTTCAGCTGATCGTCTTTTATGGTACAATCAGTTTTTCTCAATCAAACTTATTTGACCTCTTTTGTGCTATCTTTTTCTGTAGAATAATCTTGATAAATTTTAAAGTCTTCATTTATTGTTAACTGTAGTCACTGACAACTATACATAGTAACTTAACTCTTTAAACCTGAGCAGGAGCTGACAGCATCCACTCGAAAATCCAGATTTACCCATCAGATGGTGACAGCATCCGATAACATGTCTCTTTGGCTGGAAACTAATCCAAACCATGTTATTATCCACCTTTTATAGATAGACCAGAAATTTTGTAATATATGGTGATAATTATAAGGACATCATGAAAATTATTCCAGCAGAATGTACAAAAAATTATGGGTTTAAAGAGTTAAGAAATGGCCTTTGCATTTAAGTACTAACATGAAATACTTTTGAGTTTCTACCACTTAAACTTTTGTTTACTTTTATAAAGTTATTTTGTAGCATTGTCATACAGTAGTTATTGGTGAATGGAAAGGCTGGATGGTTTCACACACAAAAAAAGACCAACCTTAATTTAGTTTTATGATCCTCACTTTAAAAAAAAATCAAGCACCATGTAATTAGATTTTGTTTAATAATTGTTTTCAGTAGAGGGACCTGACTGAAGTAGTTAGCATACTTGGTTTATTCACTCCAAACTAATCAGAAGAATGTACGGAATTAGCTTACGTATGATTGACAGATGCTGCACCAATATCATTACCCCAAAATGACAAATACCAAAGTGTATATCTCCTGCTGACCCTCACCCCCACCTGTTTGTTTGAGAATTACTGATGTAGCAAACAAAACAATACTGAGAACTTCCTCTTGAAACCACAGACATGTTGGCTGTACAAAACCATTTTCATAAGTTTTACTTGGAAAATATGTGTAGAATAAGTGGTTGCCAATTATCTCTTATTTTTTTTAAATGGAAGAACTTGTGACTGGTTAGGTGGTTTATTGAGTTTTGTAATAGTCTGTTTACATGTGCTGCTTAGTTGGTTTCTGAAAACAGCTAGTCACCATGTTCTTTTAGTGACATTTTTAAATACTTCAGCATTACAGGTAATTTGTCATTTGGCTTGAAGTATGACATGAATTTTGCATCTACAGTACTGATGTCACATCTGTACTGTTTGTTTTATGTGTAGCATCTTACTGGAAGCCTTTAGTGTTCTGTAATATCATTAACTTGAATCCTCCTGCCTGGTATTTCTTTCATGTAGCTTGAAAGTTTTTTAGCAAGTAGCCTGTGACAACATATCAGATATGCTTGTATTTTATGGTGGTGGTTTTTTTCTTCATTAGGTGCTGGAGAATCTGGGAAAAGTACAGTGGTGAAACAGATGAGAATTCTTCATGTCAGTGGCTTCTCTGAGGAGTGAGTAATATTGCAAACAAGAATATTTGGAAAAACAGTAGAAGAAGATCACGTATATTAAAATTAGTTTTACGTAGCTTTAAAATTTAGGTTCTCAGCTAAAAAAATGTTTAAATGAGACAGCAAAATGGTGAGTCCTATATACTGCTGTTGGGATTTGTTTTGTACTTCAATTTTCTGTTATGATAATTTTTCAGATATGTTGACAATTTCTTTGTTTTGCGTGTTCTAATTTTTACATATATACACTTATAATCAGTTAGATATGCCATATAAATTTGTCTCAAGACTCCTAGAAGTCAGAGGCTTTTATTCTTATAAATTTTATCTGGTTATCCAATTTCGCTTTTAACTTGTAGATTTTGACAGCAGTAAAATTAATGAACAGTTGTAATTATCTATAAACCAGTTTTTAAGAGAAATAGAGACAAAATTATGATTATACACATTTCTTAAGATATTTGTATACTTAGGACTGTAGATGCTTACTTTTTACATTTAATGCTCTACCAAATGCATTTAAACATGTAATTACATAGTTGGATCCTAATGATCCTTGTTTCCATACAGCGTAGCAACAGTCACAGTATGAATTAGAGCTGGATAATTAATAGAATTTGCTAATTCATTAACCATTGGGCTCGTTAATAGAATATATTCAATTAATCGATTATTCTCACATGAGAATTGGATAGCTGGAATAATCAGAACACTAATTTCAATTAGTTGATTAATTGTAATTTTGATTAATATTGTATGTGATGCTAATATACTAATAGGTAATTGATTAATTGAGTTAATTGCCCAGCTCTGGTATGAATAACTCCTTTTATTCCATGAAACATTCTCTACTAAGTATCTGATGAAATGGTTCTGATTTTTTTTAACTGGATCAGTTGATGAGAAATGGAAGGCTGTGGTCTAATCCGTTAAATTACTATATCCAGACTGTCTGTGGGGCTAGGACCTGTTTTAACCCTATCACCACTGTTATCCTTTACTGCACATGACACAAGGTTTTTAGTGTCTTATATTTTAAATTTTATTAAACTACTTTTTGTTTATGTAATACCAATTAGAATAGCATAAAATCGTAGCTAATAATCCATATTTTAATTGTATATAAGTTTTAAGTTCTTAATACTACAAGGCAACATTAAAAATAATCCTGAATTTCCCCTAGTGTGACACACATGACACATTTTCTCTAGGCATCTTGTCTCCTCTATTTAATCCACCACCCCTTGGAAAAGTTCAAAATTAAAGTAAATTACTCACTATAAAATCATATTGTTCCAATAAACTCTATTTTTTATAGTCTTCAATTTTGTTTGGTTACATAACTATCAAATGGAATATCAAACCTCTCCTGCCATGCCCACCTGT